AAAAAACTTTTTGTTGTTGTTTTGATACGGTACTGATTAAATACTTATACCCTGCGATCCAAATTGTAAAACCAGGTGTAGGTATCACTCGTTGTGTGCTGACCATTCGAGCACATAACACGGCACTTGCAGGTGATGCTGCATTATTATCGCTCCATTTGACACCTTCAGCACACCCCGTGAAGATGAAAACTACAAAGCCGCTTTTTACCAAGCGGACCGTCTGCATGGACCGAAGTGCAGTTGATTTATATTGGATCTATAAACTTAAATTAACAAGCGGTGAAAAGGCTACTAAGTACACCTTGCAATGTCTCATTAGATGCGTTTACATAAACGAAAACCGATAATGCAGACGCTTAAACAAATTGTGTAATTGCGACACTTTTCTTTTACATTGTTTCTTCTCTAAGCCTATTTAGACTTTAATCACCTTATACGTCAGAAGGTAAAAAAGTTGTTCTGTCCTTCAAATGTCGGCGTGGCGCAGTCTCCAACAGACCCAAGCGTGGCGCATACAATATTTTATGTTACAGGCGCGGAGAAAGCCCAACAGTTGAGCTTGAAGTGTTTAGTTATGGTAAGCAAACTGTGGACATTCAATCACCTCCCCCTATCGAGATGTAGAATTGGCTCGTACAAAATAGGGGCGTGGTTATTTTTTTATCACTTTTGTCTAAGAGTGCATCGCTTGGAGTTGAAGGTTATGGACCACGAGATCTGTAGTGGAGGTACACAGCTCCATAATCCAGGGAAAGACTAAGTGCTTTAAACACGATGCTAGTTTGAAAAAATTAGATTATCGAGCCAAAACGTGTAAAGTTTAGTGTTTATGTTCCAGATCACCGAACGGTTTATTGAATCTACAGCACTTTGTGCTCAAGAGTAGCAATTTGAGGGAGGTTATGCTAACTTTTTGCTAACTTTATTCAGAGACACCTCGCATGGCACGTGTCTTTAAGTTTGAAAGGGGAACTAAACGTTATTTACGTTCAACTCTATACATCACCATGATAATAATATGACCTAATCCAGTCACACATGTCCTTAGTTAATATTTTTTTTATATCTTTCCTATCTTGTGGCTGACGCCCTTCATTCCCTATAAACTGATAAGATATTCTACATCTCTTTAGTGGGACACAAGTCCGCGTGACTAAGACACAGGGTACCGAGTATCCTACAATTTTAACCCCTTCACCATCCGTGTCAGATTTTGACCTGACCTTAGTAAATTAACGATAATAAAAGATCAATCCTCAATGCATCTCGTTCGACTTGGTCGCAACACCTCGAACGGACGACTACCCTCCACCGTTTGAAGCAAAGTTACTTAGCGCTCCTTAACAGAGGAAGTCTTTGAATAAATAAGTTTCTTTATTAAAATAAATAACAACGGCTTGTAGTCGTTCAAGCGTACAAGCTAAACAATTCCAGTTTCAAATGGATAACGATTACCAGAATTACACACTCACTAGTCACTACCGGTTAAACAAGAGTAAATGCCTTGACATGGCTAACACTCTTACAACACACTATGCCTTGACTAGACATTAGTGTTAAACGATTCAAAAGGGGAATCGGATTCTTTTTAATATTTAACTACGGTATCTAAACCCTTAAACCGTATTTGACTGACTTCTATTGTACGATATTATGATAGAAGTCCGGTCACTTTCCCTTACCCAATAAGGTGCGGTATTTCCGTAAGTACGTGGTACCAAGACTGTACCAATCAAATTCACAGATCTTTACTTGGTGTAGACACACAACACAATTAGTTCAAAAACCGCGTGCAACCCCGTTACACCGTTAGTATAATCGGGTTGCTAAAAGGGACGCGAGCAAACGATAATTGCGATCGACCACCTTCACGGCCTGGCTTTCTTGAAAAATGGAACTCATCAATAATTTTGCTCATAGTGGTCACGGGTTCTTTTCGCGTAGAGCAAAGGATAAAACCGTTTTTGGCGCAACCAACCCCAGTGCAAATATTTAGGTCAATTGCGAAAAATTGCTGTATTTTCCTCGCCGATAAAAGCAGGCTGATGCTTGAGGTAACAAAGGCTGCACCTCTTCAAGCCAACACCAAGCATAGCCAGCACAAGTTTGTAAATTCGGATGAGCTAAAATAACGACTTCTACAAAAGCGCGTCGGCTTGCATGGTTTTAAAACTGGTCCTATTAAGCAATTAATATTGCGCGGCACACGTATGTCACCTTCCATTCTCGAGGCGCCAGTTATTCCACTTCGAAAAAGGTTAATTTGTCGGATACAATTGACTATCGTTCGATCTCATTACTGTTAACACGTAACAAAAATTTGATGGGGGGCTGGTATCACGACTGCAGAGAGTTTTGCCCGTCGTCTTTGGGAAGTCACAACCAAATTTTTTTTAAACTAATGCTTAAACTGATTATGAGAGTGACAGCTCGATTCTCTTCCGCAAATAAGGAGGCGGATTTACCAGCCAGCTCTCGCTGGGCTACTCAATTACTTAACTCTCGCAAGGCGCATCATACGGTGGGTCGAGACCATGCGGAGCTTGCACTTCGATAAATCGAATGCTCACCTCATAGATCGGATGCACACGGGGACGACCTCACGCTTTCTGGTTAATGGTGAGCTTTCTGCCCCTGTTCTATATCGTTTCGGGATACGCCAAGGGTATCCGAGCGCTCCAATTATCTTTCTGATTAAAGTAGTAGCTATTTTTGGCGGTGGTAAGACGTGTCTGCGGAGTTTTGAAGGTGAGGTACACAGTTTCGATTAAGTAAAGGGCCGAAACTCACTTCATTTCCCAGATTTCGAGATGCCTCAACGTGTTTAAGGACTAATATGCCTTTAAACTGGTGTTATCGAGTTGCCGTATCAAGAAGATTAGGAAGGCTGAGCGTGCAGGCCGAAAAGCCGTCCCAATTGATTCAGGATCCAAACCACTGACGCCAACTTTTTCGCATGCTCTAGGAAAATGATGGAGTTATCGACACAGGTCATGAAGGCATGCGTCTTCCCACTTTCCCTGAGCACTGGTATTTTAATATATGTTTGAATAGCCACACCCAGTGATTGTTAGTGTTCTTTATCAGGTTTCAGGCTTAGCGCAATAATTTTCTTGTCAACCATTTCTCTGCGGCTTCCGTTAATGATGTTATACTTTTTATTGCTCACGAAAACTATTCAGCTCTAGTGTCGATTGTTTTCGGCTTACGCTTCCACGCCGACCGTCACTAGGCACACAATCATCCTGGGGTTCCTATACAAACCACAGCGCGCGGGCGAGCCTGGTCTTGGATCGCTCGTGTTGGCAGTTAAAATTCGGTAAACGAAGAATTATCGCTGTAGCTAACGCAACCACATGACAGATGTTTTGCAGCCTGGCGGGGCTGGTAGTATCGCAAGGTGTGTTTTACATCGTCTCTAGTCCCGGCGCTGCATCCGCTACCTCCAATCTAGTTACCATTGGCTGCGAATCTCACCAACACTAGATGCCGAGGATCTGGAACAGCTCCTGGGTCCATCCTTCGTCCAAGCGCATCAATAATGTCCAGGTCTACAACGTATCACGCACGCTTGTTATGCGGGTCGACCCAGTCGGAAGTAAAGACATGACTGCGTGTTTTCGTACCATCACACGTTTCCGGACCATCTCGATCATCACTATTCTTAGTTAGGAGCGTTAATCACTGTCTGGGGCCGATTATACTGGAATAGCAGTCCATGAAAATTAGATTCTGACGGCAAACCCGCACGCAGTCTAAGTATGGCCGGACTTTCCCTTGTTTAATACGTAGTCTTTATATCCGACGTACAGGGCCAAGAATATTTACATTTACATTATCAACGCACAATGGGTAATACCCATGGGCCTCGCACCTAAGTTATAGGGTGGGCTACCACGATCCTGATGTCGTCACCCCACCATAGTTCCTGAATAATTGCGAGCCTGAAGGGTGAAGCTACTATGAGCGTCACAAGGTTAATGCCGAGCTTTTAAATCGTACTTAGCTGTCTGTGTGTCTCTGTAAAGAACGCGGTTAGGTGTATGCTGTACGTATTAAGTACCATTTAGCCTGTCCCCGTTCATAGGTATGCAGGCATATTCGAAGTCACGCACTAGCTAGATCACTACTGTGATGCACGCTATTAGCTTTAATTCAATCAAAGGTGTAGTACCACATAAGTAATTGCAGGACGCTCGTAAGCACAGGCTGATCACGTTGCCCGAGTACACTTTACTGGGTTAACACAGACATCAACAGCATCATAACCATTTACCTGTGACTGCTGTTGTATTCTGTTTTACATCTTGATTCAGTTCTCCGAGCTGAATTACTTATTTCATAGGGCGAGCTCTAGTGCTTGCTTTTCTCATTTAACTTCAAAAAGCAAAAACGCATGGCTACCTTCCTCTCTCGGTGGTAAAACGGGCCTTTTCAATTCAATAAATCTCTTGTACAAATCAGCTGTATGACGTCGGCCGCACTATTTTGTTGATGGCGTTGCCGGGCAGGCTAAATCTTTGTCTTCCCCTTCTTAGATTCTTTTCCTTAGCACATCAACCACATCAACAGGTTAAGTTCGCACACAACAATAACGTGAGATTTAGAGCTTGCTTCCCTGTCTTACAGACTATCCGCAAGAAAATGTCACAATACCTATGTGACAGATAGATTGCTTTGGTACGAAACAAGTCGAGCTGCGCGAGAGATGTCAAATTAAAGTTAAAAGCGCCTGCCAAACCGACTATAGATATATCGCTCCCAAGACATAGCAAGGGTAAGAGAAATATCGCAGAAAAAGACGCTGAGGTCCATATTAAGTTCGCTCGTGTAGCGTTATGTTCAAATACTCTACCTGCTCTGCCTACTAACGTAACCACAACCTTTATTGCACCTGATTGCATATATCAAAATGCATCAGCTCCTTAACCTGAGTGTTAGTTAGACCATGCTACTCACCCACGCGCCTAACGATGATACGAGAAGCAAAACCACACTCATTCAGTAGGCAAGATCTTCTTAAAATCATCAACGAGTTGCTTGATCTGACGGGGTACGAGTTCCTTGAATTTCGAATCCTCATTCGGCGCATACCCTCCAGTCTGGAAAAAGGTCAGCGAGTTTTCAAACGTATCAAGAGTGGCACCTTCCTTCGCACAAAATCGAAGCAGCCACTTTTTGCTTTCGTCAATCGCTGAACGATTAGCACCAGACTTTGCCATCGCGTCCAGGACAGCGGAAAAGTATCTGCTGGGACTGGAATTAAAGTACGCGAATATGGCTTGATTTGCGTTTCCCTGGTCTTTGACATACCTTTCAAAAAAAGTGAAGGCCGTGGATGCGAAAAAGTCAGCGTCGTCTTTAGTGTCAAAATTCGAAAGAACGTCGTTTATGGTGAGTCCCCGCTCTCGCCAATGGTTTGCCATTATATCCTGCAACTGGATCACGCGGTTTGCCTCTGGAGAAAGCGTCCCATCAGCTCTCGTATCAGCTCTCGTATGTCGAATCGCTCGAGCGACTCCGCGGTCCGTATAGGTTGTTACTAGCTTATAGGCGAGAGCTTCACCGTCGGTGTCATGGACAGGTCCTGGCGCGGCAGAATAATGTTTTCCCAACTTGGCCATCACATGATCTTTTTCAACCAGTTTGTACCAGGTTTGTATGGCGGCCTCCATCATGTGCCTATCATTGAAAAAAGATCCATGGCTTTCGATTAACTCAACTAACGCTTGGGTACGCGAAGTCGAAAACGGCCATCTTTCTTCATCGTCATCGAGAGCCACCAGCGCCCTCAACGCCCGATTGACCAGAGCATCGTTACGATGGTTGGCAACGTCACGGAGGGAGACCACGTGGACGATCGAGTGGGACGTTTTCGATGACTTGGTGGCCATGATGGCCAAAGCGACAGAAGGCAGGAAAACGAAGTAGCAGAAGCGCATGGTGGTGGTAGTTGCAGGTGGGTGGTAGTTGCAGGTGGGTGGTCGTGGTGCGAGTGACTTGGCAATTGTTGGAATGAGGAAACTCGAAGCGTTTGACCGTGCTGTCGAGTCGTCAGGAGCTGCCTGTTGTGGTTTACACAGCACAAATTCCGATGTCGTTGTAGCGATCGATACATCCAGTGTTGCAAATCCATGCGTGTAGTCGTGGCGACCGCAAAGCCAGCTCCTACCATTACACTCGTCAAGTTTCCCGGCCCTTGATCACAACAGCTGCTGGCTCCATTTTTTTGCGAACATCAAGTTGTTGGCATCATTCCGTCGCATAACGCGTGGGTTGTCGTTCGTTAAACTCACATACGCGATCGGCAGTGCCATGCAGAGGCAATTTTCAGGTTCGCACGATCGTCAAACTGATTTAAACACTACTCTGCATGACAACAATCTTTTGCTTTTTTTGTAGAGCTAGCGAGGAATGTGTCTGTGTCCGCCGCGCACAGCTTTTAATGGAGAACTGCACGGCGCTTATAGCTGTTGTCCAACCTCAATACTTTGCACTTGACAACAGCACCTCGTCTGGCGATGTGGTAGAGACGTCATAGTGAGCTGACTGAGGTTAATCAACCAAGAACTAATCCAGCTGACATGTCGGCTGTTGTAACGCCTGTATTTTTAGAAAATGATGGCTAGATGCTAGTACTAGCTCTTTTTATGATACACTCGGTTCAGCAGAATGGCACTATATCGAAAGGCACATGACAATCTTGAGCTTTGACGATAGTGACGTGCCGTCATCGCTCAAGAAGGACTATACGAACACTAACAATTTATGGAGTGGCCAATTTTTCGGACAAGTGCCACTGGTCTTCTAAGGGCATGTTCAGTCCATGCGACAAGGCGAATAATGACTCATTGTTGTGCCCACCCCAGGAGAGCCGTTGTTTGATGGAATGGCGTGTCACAAGAGACACGTCAAAACTTCTCTGTATCGATACTGACGTGAAGCGATTGCACGGTCCAACCCGGCTCGTTTTCATGTCGACGATTCTGGCTCTAAACGTTTAAGCTAATGAAGAGGATCGACGAGAAAGTTGCTGGCTAGGATTGCAATGTAAAATACAGTCTGCAATATCGTGGAGGAGTTTCACGATCGCCCATTCACACGTTAACATTAGCAAGATGTCTGAAAACTCCTGCGCCAGAATTTAGCTATGTGCATTACCTCCGGTACAGCCTAAGCCAAGATGTTAGCGCCGAAGGATACGGAAGCTAACCACCTGGCTAAAAAAACCTTTAGAAGCCGGTCCATCTGCGATGGTGGGCCTCTGTATGCCGCTTGCGCAACCCATCGACGTAGAGTGTAGCCACCGAAGTGACAGCAAGGCGTGGGGAACGCCAACACTTCGTGATATCTCCCCGTGGAGTAGGATGACCGGAGTGACCGCATGTTGAACTTCGGGATGCAAGTTGGATGTTGAAGACGACAGTCGGTTGTATGAGCCAAGACGACCGTTGGAACATTGGGTAAACGGCGACGGGGCCAAACCGACAGTTGGAAGGCGACAGGGCCCGTGTGATGATAGTGTCGGTTGTTCTTGTAGTAGGGAGTAGTTAGTGATGCACCAACAGGAGTAGCCAAGGTGCATCATGTTTGTACAATCTTAATTCAAATGTGAAACGCACTCAAGGGCTCACATCTGCTTTAATTTCCTTTATTCAATCAATTTAACAGGTTTATGAGCCCGAAGTACACGGGAAATTCATCGAAGGAAATGGTAAAGCAAAAGTAAACGAGTATAAGGTTCAGGTTTTTTATAATTTTTCTGGAGGTCTTCTTTTTAATAAGAGTGGTATTTCAAAAAATCTAAATGACAGTTTTATAAGCTAATCATGCGAAATGTCTTCGAGGAACAGAAGATGAGTGATATGATAGATGAGCGGTACGACAAGACAAAGCTTATGACGGCAGAAGGCCAAGAAGCATATGATCAACTCCAGCTCAGGGCAAAGCGCAACATCTTCACAATTTGTCACGTGACCTGTTGCATCAGTTGCGTGAACACAAGACAGCACCAGAACTGTGGAAAACCTTGGTGACTATCTATGAAGACAAGCCGGACCCCACTGTTCGTGGACACCGTGTCCGGCAGCTAATTCATGAGCTTTTAAACACAAAGCTGGAGGAAGATGGGAACGTAAACGCGCACCTGTCATATTACTCATCTTCTGCTACTCGAAGACGTTTCGCATAATTAGCTTGTAAAACTGCCATAGCTGCCACACATTTGCAATATATTTTGCTTCAGCCGTGCTTAAGCCAACGACACTTTGCAATCGAGAAAGCCATAAAACCGCACCACCCGCAAGATTAAATACTAAACCAGTCACACTGCGCCGCGTGTCGGGATCACTTCCCCAATCGCTGTCGCTAAATCCGTCAATGACGATTTGGCTTGTATAGCCATGTTGTCTCTAGGAGGTTAATTCGTGATTCAAAGTGCTGGATAGATAGCGCAATACCCGCTTCACCGCTCCAACATGCTTGTTGCTCGGTTGATTGACAAACTGACTATGCAAACCGACTGCAAACGTTATATCTGGTCGAGTCGACGTAGCTAGGTACATAAGTGAACCAACTGCCTCTCGATAAGGAAATGACACCACTTCATCACTTCGCTTTCCGTCCTCATGCACGAGTCGTGTGGTACAGTCCACTGGATTTCCTACTCTGCGTGCGTTCAGGAATCCAAATCGCTCGAGCACTTCGCGTATATACTGAGTTTGTCGTATAGTGAAGCTCGCATCACTATGAATGATTTCAACACCTAGATACTGAGAAGCACGCCCGTAATCCTTAATTCCGTACTGCTCCTCCAGCAAGTGAAAATTGTTCGTTCTTTTGCTCGACTTCCTTAGTAGCTGCCAAGAGATTGTCGACGTAAATCGACGCAAGGCATACCACTCCTTTCTGCCACCGTTCGTATAAACACGACTCTGTGTGTCCATGTATAAAATCGTGCGCCTGAAGAAAGCTGTCAATTTCGGAATTTCACTCTTGTCCAGCCTGCCGCAAGCCGTACAGTGCTTATTTGACTTCAAATGCCTCGTTATTTTCATTGAAATGTCCTTGGATACGATTAACGTACTGTGGAATTTGTAAATGGCATTAAGGCATGCTGTATTGCATCACAGGCTGTACATCACAGCTGTAGATCTCAAATCACAATAAGGCTGAAAATGCCACAGATAACCGAAATGACGCATGGGAGCAGCCGGTGCGAATGTTTTAATAAAATCAACATATTCGCGCTGCTTGTCACCGCGAGCAAATAACCGTGCTTTTAAGCGAATCACTTCTTCTTGCTCATTTGTTTTTACTGCATCAACCCACATCTTCGTCAACATGTTTGTCGCAGGAGGCACATCCTTTAGCGAAATTTTCTCGAGCACTCCTTTAGTCTTCAGTTCTTCGAGCTCCTGTAACTCTGCGTCACACCACTTGCGTGAATATTCACATTGCAGTGCTTCCGAATGATTTCGGGATCTTGACATTACCTTTTAATAGTCCTTTGTATCCGTCACTGCAGGTACTTACTGTTGCATGAACGATGAAATCGTTAAAACGCGCTGGCAGTCGACGCTGACTCGTACTCCGCAAGTTCTCGCGCCTCTTCTTTACTTGCACGTCACCAGTGATACTTCCTGTAAACAACAGCTGTGCACGCTTCCGTTTCGTAGGCTCCACTTGAACTGCTAGTTCTGCCGCGCTATCAACATTTTCTGTGTCAATTTCTGCATCATACTCAACCGAGCCTTGTTCGCCGTCAATTGAAGTGGTGTGTGAGCTGGTATGGCTCATACCACCTTGTAAAATCTCCTCGATTTGGCCACTTAAGCAAGTGTCATCTTCTTTCATCAAGTCGCCATCAGGTTCAGCCATGTTACTGATCCTACATTCTGATGCACCAGCCCCGAAGTCATCCACATTTGGATGGACAGAGTCAACTGCGCCACGATAAACGACCGGCCGTGTCCAAACGCTGTCTTGTTCATCCGCGTCTTGTGCATCGGTTAAGCTGTCTTCGTCGTCAATTATGCTTTTCTCGACATTAAGTTCGGCATCTATAATATTGCTGTCCGTGGCTTCGATTCTGCAACATAACCGCCCTCCTCGATACTTGCATTTACATCGCTGTTGGCGTCCGAGAGTGTGGCCGTGGTGGTGGGGCGGTCGCGATAAAGAACGTGCTTATTTACGCGAATATCTGGTACAAATTTTCGCGTACGATCATCGGTTAAGCAGAGCTTGCAATCCAACACATCGTCCGCGCATCCCAGAACATATTCGATCTTGGCGTGACGATTAAGCTTTCGACCCCGTGCGTCGGCTCTAACGCGAGCATACGACAAAGATCCAAACGTGCGAAGACGATGAATGTCTGGCCGCATGCCAAACATCTTTTCGTAAAGTGTGCTGTTACATCCTCGATCAAATGTCCGGTTCCCAATTTTAAACGAGTAATGAAATGCATCGTCCAAAAATCTGAGGCATTCCTGAATGCTCCAACATTACACGCATCATCTCCATTAGCGTTCTGTGCACACTTTCGCAGGGGTTTTGCTGCGAGCTGGAAGGTCCAACCTGTACATTCTCGATGCCCCGACATTTCAGCCACAGTGTAAACTCGGTACTAGCAAATTCTCCACCTTTATCCGTCAGCAACTGTCGAACAGGATAAGCAATTTGCGCTCGTTCACTTTATTCGGCTGCGTAGCGACGAGTTTGTCGTTCAACCCAAGCAGTGCATTGTTTTTAGCGCTGCGGCTACTGCATTTGCTGCTTTTGTTTGCGGCATGGACGTTGTAACGAACTTTCTGTAAGCATCCATGATCACCAAAACTGCACCAATTTAAGTGTCGCTATTTACGCCTGGCACCAACAAATCTGCCTATACAAGCTGATTTGGCTTCACAGTGCGTCAATCAAGCTTCTTCTAAAACGT